TGTCAAGTATGCTGAATAAAGCATCCCAGCAAATGTGAATTTCCACTTTCTAGCAAGGTTTGCTGTACAATTCAGCCTCTATATAACATAAGCAGGCCTTTGGGGAGCTTTTTTTCAGCTTTAGGTAAAAAGGGTTGAGAAAAATTGGTACCATCTCTTAAGACAGTTGCGGAAGTGTCAGCACAATTATGGGGGAAACTAGATGACTGACAGTCAGCTTAGTAAGACCTTGGAGATCAGTCCTGCAGTTTCCCTCTGAGTGGCTGTCAGTGTATAACCTAGAAAAGACCCTCGAAATTACTCACCTAAGCAGACTTGGGGGCTTCTAATTATCTCCCCTTCTTGGAAACCCAGGCTTCTTTTGTGGACTTTTGCTGAATTATATAGATTATAAAAATACAAAATATATTTACAATAAATGTATTTTAGTATATATCTAATGTATATTTACATATTAGATAAAATATAAGATACTTATATTTAATTTTTATGTTATATAGTACTATATAATATTAAGTATAATATTGATAACATGATATATTTTTATTATATAACACTGTATAATATATTAATATCTATTTGTGTAGTAAATAAGCATATAATATTTATAATATATAAGAAGATATAGAATATATATAAAACATAAAAAGACAAATCTTTTTGGGTCTGAGGCTATAGTTCCATAGTAGAGCATGTGCAAGTCTTTAATTCCTAGACTGAATGTTGAAGGTAATTATCAGCAAACTAAAGACTTCTAAAGCAGTGATGGCCAATACATTGTGATAGTAGGGCTTGGTGGCAATCTGTGAACTAGGTAATTAGTACCTTTAGCTTACTAGTCTAGGTGAAAAAACTATATTTATATTGCTTTGAAAGGACTTTTCCATGTCTAGAAATGCCTTATATTTGTGGGCATGATGTTGAAAAAAGTGAATTCTGCCTTAAAATGCTAAGTCATTTTCTCAGAATGAGGCTTTTTAAAACTAGTGTTTGTTCTGGAAAAACAATGGCAGCAAAACTGTTCAGTCTTTGGAGAGTTGATCACCAAGCACTGTTGAGTTCTCACTGACCTGGGGCTGCTTCAGATATTGAGGAGAGTTGATCACCAAACACTGTTGAGTTCCCACTGACCTGGGGCTCACTTCAAATGTCCAGGAGAGTTGATTACTAAGCACTGTTGAGTTCCCACTGTCCTGGGGCTGCTTCAAATATCCAGGAGCTAAGGAAAGAGAAGAGAAGAGAAGACTCAAAGCTTAAACCCCATCAATGAGGTGGAACACTGTCTTTTCTTTTGTTCTTCAGAGTGAGGAACCATGACGGACTTCCCGCAGGGCATTCAACTTAGTTTTCATTGCTGTAGCTCTTTGCTTTATTCAATTCATACTCCCATACAATTGACACCTTTCCTAAAGTATACAATTCACAGGTTTCACTAAGTCCACAGTTAACTATTACAGGTATCTAGTGCATTATATTTATCTAGTGCATTATATTTAATTTATTATATCTAGTGCATTATAATTAACCTCCAAAGAAGCCCTATGTCCTTTAACAAGTACTTCCCATGTTCCTTACACTAATCTCTGAAGAATTGTATATTCAAACCCCTTAGCATGTTTCTTCAAGGCCTATTTGAGTAAATGTGTATGAGTACTTCATTCTGTGTTCCTGAATAATATTCCATTGTGTGGTTACATCATACACTGTGTATCTACTGATCAGTTGACAGATACTTGAGCTTTTAGGTTCTGTTTATAATCACTCCCAGCCCCTTTGCATGACAAGGAACTGAATGCAGGGCTTCATATGTGCTTGGCAACTCTGTGCCACTGAACTGTACCCTAGCTGTTCTGGCTTGCTCTTCTGTTGCTGTGTTAAACCATTGACCAAAAGTGACGTTGGCGGGGAGGGGCTTATTTCAACTTACCTTCCAGGTAATAGTACATCAGCAAGCAAAGTCGGGGCAGGAAGTCAAGGCAGGGACTTGGAGCAGGAACCACAGAGGAACAGTGCAGCCAGCTTATGCTTAGCTTGCTTCCTTGCCATCCAGGCTCACTTGCCCACAGTGAGTGACCAGTCAAGACAATCTCTCACACACGTGACCACTGGCCAATCTGATGGAAGCACTTCTTCAGCTGAGGTTCCCTCTTCCCAGGTGACTTTAGGTTGGGTCAAGTAGACAAGAAAACTAAGGAGCACACCAGCCCTCTTCCTACTTTGAGCTTAGAGCTCACTAAATTTCCCAGGCTGGTCTTAAACGCACTCCTAATAGACCTGGCAGGTCTTCAACTTGGAATCCTCCTGGCCCAGCTGTTCTAGAGTAGCTAAGGTTACAGGCTTAATTCACCAGAACTGGCTGAATTTTTTTTTTTTTTAAAGATTCTATTTATTTTATGTATTTGAGTACTCTATCTGCATGTGCACCTTTATGGTGGAAGAGGGCATCAGATCCCACTATAGATGGTTGTGAGCCACCATGTAGTTGCTGGGAATTGAACTCAGGACCTCTGGAAGAGCAGCCAGTGCTCTTAACCGCTGAGCCGTCTCTCCAGCCCACTGGCTGAATTTTTAAGAATTAGTTGTCTTGTATTGTGATTGTGTACATACCTGTGGAGGCCAGAGGACAAACTCAGGAGTTGTTCTTCAGGTGCCATTCTCTTCTTTTCATTTTTTCATCATCGTTATCATCATCATCATCATCATCATCATCATCATCTCATCCTGAAACTCTCCAAGTAGTCTAGGCTAGCTGACCAGGGAGCCTCAGGGATCTGCCCGTCTCTACCTTCCTAGCCCTGGGATTACAGTGTGCTGCCATGCCTAGCATTTTTATGTGGGTTCTGGGGATCCAACTCAAGACCTTGAGCATACAAGACAAGCACTTTACCAACTGAGCTATCCAATACCCAGCCCTGGAATGTGTTAAAGGTTTAGGTTTATAGATGCACCAACATCTCACCATGCTATGGTACATGTGTTACTGTTAGTAACCAACATTGATACAGGTTCCGATTGTTTGGAATCCTTACCTCATATTCCTTTTCTATTGCATCCATCCAGGATAGAACAGTGCATGTAGATGAAATTCTAAACAGTCTTATTAAATAAGAAACACAGAGCCAAATACAGAGTTAAAAGCCCAAGAGATCAGAGCACTAGTGAAGTCCAAGACTACCTTTTGCTTACCACTAGCTGCCGTCCTTCCCCTGAGAGACCTTCCTGTGTGTCTTGCATTTTATTGCTTTCCTGTTCTGCCTTCTCATTGGTTCTAAGCCCAGCCACATGACTTCCTCATCACTGCCTGTCTATACAGACCTCCTGGTCTCTATGGTTGATACTGAGATTAAAGACTCAAGGGTCACCACGCTTGGTTGTGTCCTTGACCACACAGAGCTCTGCCTGCCATATGATTGGGATTAAGAATGTGGGCTACCAAACCGGGCGTGGTGGCGCACGCCTTTAATCCCAGCACTCGGGAGGCAGAGGCAGGCAGATCTCTGTGAGTTCGAGGCCAGCCTGGGCTACCAAGTGAGCTCCAG